CCGGCCCTATGAATAAGAAAAAACTACACAAAAAGCTGGGCACGAGTAGGTACTTACTTATACGCAATTCTGAATTCAATTTGCTTTTGCTGACATCAAATACGTTGTCAGCTCGCACAAAGATTTTCTGATAACCGTCGTCGATTGCTAACGTCATATCAACAACCTCGCCGTCGCGTACGACGCCTTCGAGAAAGAGAGAGAAAAAAAAGGAGAACACAAAGAACTCTCACCTTTCCAGTGGACGGTGAAGTTATTGTCCCGCAGATCCGAGGAGATGGTCTGCAGCATCTCGCGCAGGTAGACGAAATTCGTCGCGACGTCGGCGTCGACGTTGAAGTCGTATCTGTACACTTCCGTGCATTTCAGCGGATCCTCCACGTCCTCCATCACGTACAACATGAACTGCCTATTAATCAGCCTAGCCATAGTAGCTATTAGGTTCGGCGTACGTTCAAGTGCGGAGAGACTACGGAAGAAACGTCTCGAAGTATCCGAAATATATCGTCGATACGTATATATCGCTTTTCCCTGTTTTCGTCGTCTTCGACTTCGAAAACCGAGACGAAAAAACGCCAGGCGGCGCAATGGGTGCGGGTGGCGCGCGCCGCGCGGCGAGCAGAGAACGTAAACAGGACAGAAAACGTCTGTTCGAGGCCGTATTTCGCATGTATGTACCAAATCTTCATCGAGAACTTTAACACGATTTATATTTCAACTGTAATAGACTGCGATCGCGCGCGGCGCCGAAATTGCGACAATGGGGACAAATGGCCCGGCACGGGCGGCCGCGAGCCGTGACGTCACGACTACGCGAATCAAACGAGGCGCAAGCGTTTCGCGCCGCGCGACGAGCCGAGAGCATAAATAATTAAAGAGTTTTAAAATAATTGATACGTGATGCAATTTCAAATATAATAATAATTCAATTATACATTGAAATGATATATTGACGATCTATTCTAAATAACTTTTAAACACGAAATTTTAAACACGATTATTTAAATAAGGATTTTTCGTTTAAATTTAAGATGAAAAATCGGGTGTTCAATAATTATACGACAAATACAATCGTAGAATGTTACGCGTATTCGCACTCAATTATATCGTAATAAAATATATTAAAACTTATTTGGTACGAATTTTAATATTTCAATCTTAATAATTGTATGTTATTTTAATTATAATTAAATGTGTAATTCGGTCACTACATTTGTAATTAAAATTTTTATATCATAATCGTGGCGAACATGGATGCAGATTTCGTGATGATTGTCCATCCCTCAATTCAACCCTTTCGACGCTCGTTCATACGAAAAATATGGAAAACAATGCGTGCGTGAGGGATGCGGGCCGATCGCGTGCGATTTCTGAAAATGGGCACAATATATGAACTGTGCGAGTCAAACAGAACATGTACATACACGCGTGCCGAGCTAAAAATAAGGACAATATACAGCCTACATTGTCATGTATTTTTCGCGGATTATCGATAAATATGAAATAATAATGAGACGCGCCGAATTTACCATCGCGAATTTTAACGCGCGATTAATTTTTCCATCGTAATAATTGTGTTGGTATATTAATGCGCGATTTTAAATAATTCATCTGACGCTATTCTAATTCGAGTCTTTCCTCAAGTGTGATTAATTAAAGAATCTCGCATGAATTTAAGACAGACGATCGAATGTTTGGACTCGTAGCGAATAATATTACTTCTTTCGTCGAATGTCTAATATCAAATTTTCTGGAATATACAATATTTTCGGAATAAAATGACATTTCTATAAATTGCTATTAAAAAAATATTTAAGAACGTATAAAATTCTAAATGTAAACAGGATGTATATCTATATTTATTATATGATGAGCAAAAGCGGTATTTTCTTATCGTATTCACAATTACCTTAATTTTACTTGACTGACGCGATCTGTTATTAAATTCTGTTTTATCGTTAAATATAACGGAATCTCATTAAATAATTAACAAGTCTTATTTATATAGATAAATCATATTTTTAAACACTTGATCTTCGCGATCTCACGTAGAATAATAATTCTTACCTCTCGGGATAGCGTCAGTATTTTTGTTCAATAAGATAAGGATGATACGAGATACGCTAATACAATGAGAGAATCAGATTACTTGACGCGAATAAAACAAACGAGCATCGTATACATGGTATAAATATATTTATGCGAATATTTTGTTACACGATCGTGTCTACATATTACGACACAACATTACAGTGCTAATAAATGCTAATATCTGCTTGTTACCACAGAGCACACTTTTTCTCCGGATTCATTCCCTTTCCTGCCGAACAATTATAAGCCCTGGAGAATTCGGGGAAATTCGAGTAACTGCCTCGTATTCTCGCTTCTGGGATGGGATGCACGTCTAGCTGGAGCAATTCTTTCTGGCGTATTTGCTGTGGCGTGGCACTTTCGCAGAACAACTGAAAAAAGAATTAAGTCGTTGATAACACTGACTTTCTCGATTTCTATTGATCGTCTGTAAAAAGATTTTTTTTACGCGAGATTTTCACGTTGCGACACTTATACCTGCGTGTAACCCATAAAGAATAACTGATCATCGCTGTAGTCCTCCAATCCCTGCAATCGCAATTCAGGCTCGTTCAATCTTGCCTTTCTGTTCTTGTACGCTTTATACGCAGCTACGAGGCCAGCGGAATCAGCGATGTTTTCTCCTAGCGATAATCGTCCATTCACCTGCAAAATTCCAACGTTTAAAGATAAATTAATGTGGCCAAAAACAGAAAAGACTTTAAATGCAAAATTCAAAGAATTTCAAACATTCGAAAATTTACAAAGCGTTAAAGGATATTGAAAATAATTGAAAAATCAAGGCCAAAAAATTTAAGTTTTTGACAAAATTTATAATACATCATATAAAATATAATATAATGAATTATAAAAAGAAAGATATAATTTGATTATGTCTTTTAAATGTTCAATAAAAAATTAAAATTTTCTTGTTATACACCACTACTTACGTAAATTTTCGATTGTTCCAAGCCTGGTACCAAATAACTGTTATACTGATCGACAAAGCATTGTACTAATTCCTCGTATTTATTGATAGTTTCTTGCGTCCACCACTTTACGGCATTACCGTTTTTATCGTACTTACGACCTGTAAAACAATATATATTATACATACAATATTACATGATATTTCGGCAAAAATGTCAACTAAAAATTACCCAAATTATCGAAACCATGATTTATTTCGTGCCCGACGAAAACTCCTAGTGCTCCGTAGTTCATGAATCTGATAAAAAATTATACATATAAATTAGAAAGGAAATCTAAACAATTACATAAATTAAAAAATTGCAAGAGAAATGATTTAGGTACAATAAAATATTCAATAGAATTCCTTTTTTAAAGTAATACGATATAGAACGTAATATAATGTATAGAACCTATTTCAATGGAACTATTAATTCTTAAAACAATAGATACTATATAATTATATAAATTTATGCATCCCTGAATTAGATCACATCATGCACATCGTTCACATTAAATACTTACGCAGGACGGTTTTTGTCGTATACGGGACTTTGCGTTACTGCAGCAGGAATAACTAAAAAAAAAAAAAAAAACAAGTTAACAATACAATTCGGATAATCAAAATTCTAAAAAAAAAAAAAACAAATATTCTAAGATTTACCAATTTCATTGCTAGTTGGATAATAATAAGCGTTTACACTCGTCGGTTCCACAAGCCATCCTTTTCTAAAAAGGAGATGTGAAGTTTATTGTTGCCGCTTTTCCGCGATGCCGATTGGTTTCCTTGCTGCGCTTACTTCATTTGCAGCTGTCATTGTATATTTTGACAGTTGTGTATAATAGGGTTAATAGTGAAATGTTAAAGATAAATAGCGCGCGCGTAGCGCGCGTCTGTAGTGTCTAGTCTATTAAAAAATAAAGTTATAATCTTAACTTCATATATTGTTTTATCGCAACTGTTTTACGTTTTAAGTATATATAGTATATATTATATTATAATTATTGAAGAAAAATTGTGGAATCCTTACTCGCTGTTGTCGACAGGTTTTCGCAGTTTGCCTAAAATTTTCTTGAATTTGAATCTAAATACATTTATCACACTTTGGAGATATTCCGAAGTGACAGCTAACTGAAACAGACGCGCATAATTTTTTCTTAATATACGCTATGATAAAATCTAAATTAAAGTTTTTACAATAAAATTATTCAGAGAAAAAATGACGTACTTGTAGTAGTTAGAACAATTTTATATGAAAAATTATCGAAAAGAAAATGTGTGTTTTCTTATCCACTGCTTACGTACTTATAAAATATTATCACTAACGTACTTACGCCATTGTAATATTTATCAATAGCTTCGTTGCTGAACCAATTGGGGAGTAGAATTTGTTTTCCCATGCTTTTTAATTTCTCGAGAGAAGCCTCCTTCGTAGGTTCGTCCATCCAAGTGGATGCTCTAATTTGACCGCGAACGACATTTGCAATGTCCGTGATCATATCGCTGATCTAAAGTAAATAATGTAATTCAGATAATTCAGATTTAATTCGGTATTATTCGACAGTTACATTAAGTTCTATTCATCGATCAGTTTTATTCCTATTTTTGTTTCTTATTCGTATTAATGTACTTACGTCTTGTTTATTTTCGAGCTGCACGTGTCTCTTGGCATACTCCTGTGAGATTGCCGTATGTAAGTTGGCATCCTTCTGCAAGCACCTCTTCCACCTTAATAAGATTCACTTAATTAACATCGGTTTTATTTACGGTTCCTCTAATTAAGAGAGAATTACATGTAAGCAGCATAGATTGAAGAAGAGAGGGTAAACATTTAGTTAAAAGCAGTTTCTAACTACAGATAAATGATCAAATGTAACATATTTAATATAATTTCGTCTCTAAAAATTATAGAATTTTAAACTTTACGCTGATATTATGTTTAATTATACAAATCAGTGGCTACATATTCGATTGTCTATTATTATCTTATCATATTTTGAGCGAGTAATGATGCAAAATCTCCGGTAATTATTAACTTATTATTCTAGCCTTTTAAATTTATTTATCAAGCTGGTATAAGTATATAGTAAAAATTGTACCTTGAGAATTCCGGAATCTTGTTTTTGAAGTCAACGGCAAGTTGAACAGCGATTTTTTCCGTACGTTCGGTATAAGGTAACAGAGCTCTGATAAGGTTCCATTGCATGTAATTTACTGCAATCAGATTGCGTAAAGGTATAATTTTTTTATTCAAAAACTCTTGATATTTTTTTGTACACGGTTGCAATAAATTATTTCGAAAATCTTACTGATTGTACGACTGGGCGTACGCTCCAGTAAAGGAACCAGAGAGGTGAGAAACTTGGGAACGATAAGCTTCTCAGATGAATTGATCTTAATTCCTTCCGGCGCGAATAGTCTTTGAATACGATAAAACCAGTTTATCTGTAATGTAAAAACATAAATGCAAGTTAAATGATGTAAATAGTATATAATTTGCATAACAAATATATATAGATTGAGTTCTAACCGACCTTGCTCTTTTCAGGACGTTGCGCATCATATGCCTGTTGCAATTCTTCGATAGTTAACGAGTTGTTGATTTTGTCAATAGTTAGCTGCAAATGTTTAAATAAAATGGAAAAATAATTTACTACAATCGACTTTTGGCGTCTCTGTATTAAACTGATTAAAATAGATTCGGCTAAAATAGATTATGTTAAAATAAAACGCAAGTTAATTTTACAAATCGTTAAAGATATTTCTAGCGATATAAAAATAGTGAAAAAAATAAATAAATCAAAGAGTAAATCCTGAAAGAAGATAATCTTAAAAAGAAAGGTTTGGAAGCTCATCGTTGCAATTCCGAAACAAAATAAATCTAAAAATTCGAATTTTAAATACATTGGTGATTTCAGTAGTAACCTTAGCCAGTTCAATCTCGAAATTCACGACGTCAAGCGCTTCCTGACTGATTGCATCCTTCTCGACATACGCGCCACTGTCCTCCACAAACATATTCGCAACTGTCTCGATGTAGGACTTGTAGGACATCTTTTTCTCAAGGAAAAGCGAATCTTTTTCGAACCTGATCAGGATGTGGCGTGAGACATAGGAGTTAGGTACAACGATCTGAAAAACATTTATTCTACGTAAGACTATAGCTTCTTTATTAGCTCGTAATGTTCTCTCGATTCTTTTTCTTACGACAAACGAAAACATTTATTATTATAAAAGGGTATGTTCGCATAGGATATTGTAATATAACATTCCCCGACATATTCGGGGTATAAATTTAAAATTTAGAGCATCAATAATACACGTACGGCAATAATAATGTTGATATCGGACTCTTTGTTATCTTCCGTGATCGATATCCTATAAAGGCCATTGTCGAACACGTTATTCTGCAAAATGTCGCTAACTTGTTGCCACGTTCTATTATATTCTTTCCGTTCCCACTCCCCAGGGGACATAGTCATTGGCCACCCGCCATTCTTCCGCACAACTTCTCTAAGGGCACTGATTCCGATCTTCTTGAGTTCCTCTGAAAGCCAAAGGAACAGTTATTTTTCTCTTTCTCCTGAATTTCAAATTTGGAAGATACTTGTTTTAATTAATCTGTTTTTTTTTTCCCAGCGTACGTACCGGTATCCATGCACATGTTGTATAGCTTCCTCGCTTTTTCCAAGGAAAGCGTGTCGTCCAATTTGGGAGCATCTTCTAAAATCTCTGCAGATGGTAAGGGAATGATCGCGAGTTTGTAAAAATTGCAGCATGTAAGAATTTTAATAATTAAAACATTTTGATTTATGCAACACCGTTAATATTAGTATCTCCAGTAAATTGCAGTTAAACGATATCGTACCTTTAAGTTTCTCTAAAGTTTTCTGGGTGAGACTCGACCGACCTAACACAGAGCTAATTTCTGGATATGACATATTTGCCGGATTATTTTTTACCCATCCGCCACAAGCGAATTTGTAAAAATTATCGCAAGGATCAACCGTGCGGTCGATATAGCCTGAGATCCTCAACGCTATAAAAAGTAATAAAGATGACGTTATGTGATGATATACCGTAAAAGCGATAAAAATAATTTATAAACGCGGAATAATCTATGAAGTAATAAGATAATATGAGAATTGAAATACCTTCGTTCACGCAATTTTGCGTGGTGCACAATTTATAATTCCGGTGTGTATCGTAATTACTCTTCGGAGCCGCGAACGCTATTTGCGAACACGTTGCGGCTACCAAGAGAGCTCTGTAAAATTTTTTTAACAAAAAAAGATAATTAGCTGGTAATAATAAGTGATTATCATCTATTGTTATCAGGATGGTGCGTATGGTCTTTGTAGCTGAATCTTTTATCTTTCTTTCTTTCTTCTCCATCACACGAAGAAAATTTTTTGTTATATGTATTTTACCCTTAAACTCATTACAAACTTAGGACAACTTGGCAACCAAAAAATTTTTAAAATATACAAAAGTCATTTTACAAACAACGTGATAAAAGTTACCAAGCAGATTGGTAAATTTTAAAAAATTATTGCGTAGATATATTTTAGTAAAGTTAATCAAACATATTTTATATTTTAATATAATAGATATTAATATTCTTTATTATGATATATATTAATCAGAATAGCTCGCATAAAATTCTTGGTGGTGCATGTTGTCCTATAACTACCATGATTTCAGGGTAAATTAAAAAAAAAATTCTCTCCGTGCATCATTTAATTATATGTGTAATTCTTTTGCACAAAGTATAACATAACATAGTTACAAAGAACATGTCTAATAATTTAATAAAAATATATTAAAAATAAAATCTCATCTTACATAAAGGGGCGATATGTCCGCATGGTATTATAAGCTTCGACGACACTTTTTCACCGAAATTGTACAACACGATTCCGATGAAGACCGAAGAACTTCTTTCTCAGGAAAGCACCTTGTGTGAAGTCTTGTTAAGGCTCCTGGTCCCTGAGCCGAGAACTCCGCGCTGACGGTGGCGACTGGCGACGTACCGTCGCGGTAAAAATAAGATAAGAACCTTTTTTCAATGAAAAATTCTGTTCTTTGTGACATGTTGACAACCTATTTTGACCTGCGTTTAATTTCTTTATTATTTGCTCTGTATTTGTGCTATAACGTTTAACGTATTCGTGAAACTCGTAAAATTGACCGAGAAGTAAGATTTGCAAGAAGTACATATACGGAAGAAACATTCTCCACTCCTTTCGATAGTCGTCAAACGGCTTGTTTTCAGTACGTTTAGGCTTCGTTTTATGGCTGTTTGTTTATTGTCGAGAAAAAATGATAGATTCCGGTCAATTTTAAAAGTGTTCTGAAACGATCTATAGTGATTTTTTATTGAAATGTCTTTTTATTTCGGAATAAAGCGTAGGACAAAATGGGGTGTTATTTCTCGCCTCGATAGCAAGAATTTCATATGGCTGCGGTGACTACCCAGATGCCTTAATATAGTCATGGAAAGATTATGGCTAGTGATATGATAAGACATCAACATCATTACGCTATCTCACATGAATGATACGTTCAAGAATTTTGTACACAAAACATATATATGTGAAACGCTTGTCCAAATATTATATACCTTTGACGATTTTTTTATATTTGTGATAAATATTATGTACACGTAAAGAAAATTTTTATCCGCATCTCCCTCGGTTAAGTTAAGTAAAATCGCATTTTGGATTTTTCCCTAAACAAATTTTATTTCAACGCATATTTATTTCAATTTATTTATGTTATACTTTTTAATTGGTTATATTTTATTGTAAATGTGTTACAATCTTTATCTTTTCTATTTCTTATATTACTTTTTATTTTAGACATATTTTTTATAATTAATTTTTAAAGCCCAGAAAATCCATCTCAAAATTATCTTTTTAATATTTTATCATCATGTGTTTTAAGCATACGTACTAATTCTTTACCATAATTCTTTAATATATTTTTCAAATAAATTTTATTTCCTAAATATTTTTTATTATTAATTTAACTTATTGTTCGCTATAATATCTAATACTAAGCTTGAGGATTCGTAACAATTTTTTCGAACAAATTTTTTTACATCAAGGAAGAAGTCTTTATAAAAAAGGAAAAAAAGAAGATTTTATACATCAAATGTATAGTTCATCTTTCAAATAGTACACAGTCATTACGAGCACACATAAATAAAAAAAAACACCCATAGCAAAAGCTCGGTGGAAAAAATACATATACGAGTACTCATAATAATTCCAAGTTATAAAGAAATTGCTCTCGGTTTCCTTGATCTCAATGTTTTTTAAGTCAAGGTTCGTCGAACAAGCGCAGTCTAAAAAATTCCAAAGGTGTTTTCTATTTACTTTTATCTTATATGATTTACAAATGTAGCAAAGCGTACAATACGGTGAACAAATTATACAAGCATAAAGATACGTGTGCTTATTATAAACTGCACGCTTTCTTGGAAAGCTCAAGTCCTCATAGGAAACACACGCTTTTATATTTCTTATTAATCCCATTACGATGATGAAGACATATAATCTCGGCATGCAGTCTGAGAGGAGGAGGAGGCCTGGGAGAGACATCGAGCACCGGCGGAGCAACCTTGAGGTAAGTATCATTTCTTAGCTCCATAAAATTAATAATTTGTTTCCATTTATTCGAATTGGTTCATTTCGATAAGTTAAAAGTAATTAAAGACAGAGAAATTATTTAAAATATTTTATTGAGAGATGACTTGGGGACCAATATAATGAATTAAGAATTATCTTTTAAAATGTTGATTATTTTGAGCACTTCCTTTTCAAATCTTATGTTTGTATGTTACAGTATCATCGTAGCTACGCGGCTGCGTAACTCCGCCTGTTGCACATCGGGTTGGTGAGTCAGAAATTTTTTTTATTGGGATGACGAATCTACGATTATATAATTAGTCCAAATCTATGCATTTAATCGCAATGATATTCGGTACAAGCAGGATGGCCTTTAATATTGCTTATACCTTTTCCTCGATACTAGTACCAGATCAATTAAATTTTTTTTCACATTACTTAATTAACATTACATTAACATTACAAACAAACATTAATTAAAAAATAAAGAAATCAAAGCTAGACACGACGCAATAGAATTCAAGACTTATATTTAATCTATTTGAGCGATCGTAATTCATTACTGAATTACATCTTAAAAGCATACAGATCTATTTGTCGATCATCTATCTGCTTGTTACCAGAGAGCACACTTTTTCTCCGGATTCATTCTCTTTTCTGCCGAGCAATTATAAACCTTGGAGAATTCGGGGAAATTCGAGTAACTGCCTCGTATTCTCGTTTCTGGCATGGGATGCACGTCTAGCTGCATCATTTGCTGGAGTATATGCTGTGGCATGGCACTTTCGCAGAACAACTGAAAAAAGAATTAAGTCGTTGATAACACTGACTTTCTCGATTTCTATTGATCGTCTGTAGAAAGATTTTTTTTACGCGAGATTTTCACGTTGCGACACTTATACCTGTGTGAAACTCATAAAGAATAACTGATCGTCGCTGTAGTCCTCCAATCCCTGCAATCGCAATTCAGGCTCGTTCAATCTTGCTTTTCTGTTCTTGTACGCTTTGTACGCAGCTACGAGGCCAGCGGAATCACCGATGTTTTCTCCTAGCGATAATCGTCCATTTACCTGCGAAATTCCAACGTTTAAAGTGAAATTAGTGTGGCCAAGAACAAAGAAGATTTTAATGGCAAAATTTAAAATTTTCAAACATTCGAAAATTTACGAAGCATTAAAAGATATTGAAAGTAATTGAAAAATCAAAGCCTAAATTTAAGCTTCTGACAAAATTTATAATATATCATATAAAATATAATATAATGAATTATATATAAAAAAAGATATAATTTAATTATGTCGTTTGGATGTTCAATAAAAAATTAAAATTTCCTTGTTATACACCACTACTTACGTAAATTTTCGATTGTTTTAAGCCTGGTACCAAATAACTGTTATATTGCTCGACAAAACATTGTGCTAATTCCTCGTATTTATTGATAGTTTCTTGCGTCCACCACTCTACGGCATTACCGTTTTTATCGTACTTACGACCTGCAAAACAATATATATTATACATACGATATTACATTTAATTTTTAGTTGATATTTCGTCAAAAATATCAACTAAAAATTACCCAAATTATCGAAGCCGTGATTTATTTCGTGCCCGACGAAAACTCCTAGTGTTCCGTAGTTCATGAATCTGATAAAAAATTATACATATAAATTAGAAGGGAAATCTAAACAATTACATAAATTAAAAAATTGCAAGAGAAATGATTTACAATTAAATATTCAATAGACTTCCTTTTTTAAAGTAATACGATATAGAACGTAATATAATGTATAGAACCAATTTCAATGGAACTATTAATTCTTAAAACAATAGATACCATATAATTATATAAATTTATGCATCCCTGAATTAGATCACATCATGCACATCGTTCACATTAAATACTTACGCAGGACGGTTTTTGTCGTATACGGGACTTTGCGTTATTGCAGCAGGAATAACTAAAGAAAAAGACAAGTTAACAATACAATTCGGATTATTAAAATTCTAAAAAACAAATACAAATATTCTAAGATTTACCAATTCCATTGTTAGTTAGATGATAATAAGCGTTTACAGACGTCGGTTCCATAAGCCACCTATCAAAAAATAGAGTTATAATTTTAATTTCATATTTTGTTTTATCGCAATTGTTTTACGTTTTGTAGTAATGTATAAGTATAGATAGTATATATTAAATTATAATTATTGAAAAAAAATTGTGGAATCCTTACTCGTCTTTGTCAACAGGTTTTCGCAGTTTGCGTAAAACTTTCTTGAAATTGAATTTATACACATTTATCGCACTCTGGAGATATTCCGAAGTGACAGCTAACTGAAACAGACGCGCATAATTTTTTCTTAATATATGTTATGATAAACTCTAAATTAAAATTTCTACAATAAAATTATTCAGAGAGAGAATGACGTACTCTTGTAGTAGTTAGAACAATTTTATATATATGAAAAATTATCGAAAAGAAAACGTGTGTTTTCTTTTTCACTGCTTACGCAGTTATAAAATATTATCACTAGCGTACTTACGCCATCGTAATATTTATCAATAGCTTCGTTGCTGAACCAATTGGGGAGGAGAATTTGTTTTCTCATGCTGTTTAATTTCTCGAGAGATGCCTTCTTCGTAGGCTCGTCCATCCAAGTGGTTGCTGTAATTTGGCCGCGAACGACATTTGCAATGTCCGTGATCATATCGCTGATCTAAAATAAATAATTTAATTCAGACAATTCAGATTTAATTCGGTATTATTCGACAGTTACATCAAGTTCTATTCATCGATAAGTTTTATTCATATTTATGTTTCTTATTTGCATTAATGTACTCACATCTTCTTTATTTTCGAGCTGCACGTGTCTTTTGGCATACTCCTGTGAGATTGCCGTATGTAAGTTAGTATCCATCAGCAAGCACCTCTGCCACCTTAACAAAGTTCACTTAATTAACATCGGTTTTATTTACGGTTCCTCTAATTAAGGGAGAATTACATGTAGTAGCAGCATAGATTGAAGAAGAAAGGGTAAACATTTAGTTAAAAGCAGTTTCTAACTACAGATAAATAATCAAATGTAACATTTAATTATTTAATATAATTTCGTCTCTAAAAATTATAGAATTTTAAACTTTACGCTGATATAGTTCAATCATACAAATCAGTGGTTATATATTTTATTTTCTATTATTATCTTATCATATTTTGAGCGAGTAATGATGCAAAATCTCCGGTAATTATTAATTTATTATTCTTGCTTTTTAAATTTATTTATCAAGTTGATATAAGTATATAGTAAAAATTGTACCTTGAGGATTTAGGGATCTTGTTTTTGAACTGAATATAAGGTAACAGAGTTCTGATAAGGTTCCATTGCATGTAATTTACTGCAATCAGATTGCGTAAAGGTAGAATTATTTTATCCAAAAATTCGTGATATCTTTTTGTACACGGTTGCAATAAAATATTTCGAAATCTTACTGATTGTACGACTGGGCGTACGCTCCAGTAAAGGAACCAGAGAGGTGAGATACTTGTGAACGATAAGCTTCTCAGATGAATTGATCGTAATTCCTTCTGGCGCGAACAGTTTTGAAATACGATAAAACCAGTTTATCTGTGATGTAAAAACATAAATGCAAGTTAAATGATGTAAATAGTATATAATTTGCATAATAAATATTAAATAGATTGAGTTCTAACTGACCTTGGCTTTTTCAGGACGTTGCGCATCATATGCCTGTTGTAATTTTTCGATCGTTATCGAGTTGGTGATTTTGTCAATATCTCTAGATCTACTATTTTCGGAAATCAACTGCAAATTTTTAAATAAAATGGAAAAATAATAAATTAAATTAAATTAAATAGATTCTGTTAAAATAAAACGCAAGTTAATTTTATAAATCGTTAAAGATATTTCTAGAGATATAAAAATAGTGAAAAAAATAAATAAATCAAAAAGTAAATCTTGAAAAAGGATAATCTTAGAAATAAAGGTTTGGAAGCTCATCGTTGCAATTCCGAAACAAGATAAATCTAAAAATTCGAATTTCAATATACATTGGTGATTTCAGTAGTAACCTTAGCCAGTTCAATCTCGAAATTCACGACGTCAAGCGCTTCCTGACTGATTGCATCCTTCTCGACATACGCGCCACTGTCCTCCACAAACATATCCGCAACTGTCTCGATGTAGGACTTGTTGAACGTCTTCCCCGGAAAGAGAAACGGTAGCGGGTGCGCTTCGAAGTTGATCAGGATGTGGCGCGAGACATAGAAGTCAGGTACAAGGATCTGAAAAACATTTATTCTACGTAAGACTATAGCTTCTTTATTAGCTCGTAATTAGCTTCTTTGTTCTCTCGATTCTTTTTCTTACGACAAACGAAAACATTTATTATTATAAAGGGGTATGTTCGCTTAGGATTTTGTAATATAACAGCAACATATTCGGAGTATAAATTTAAAATTTAGAGCATCAATAATACACGTACGCCAATGATGTTGGTATCGGACTCTTTGTAATTTACCCCCACCGATATCCTATAAAGGCCATTGTCGAACATGTTATTCTGCAAAATGTCGCTAACTTCTTGCCACGTTCTATTATATTCTTTCCGTTCCCTAGGGGACATAGTCATTGGCCACCCGCCATTTTTCCGCACAACTTCTCTAAGGGCACTGATTCCGATCTTCCTGAGTTCCTCTGAAAGCCAAAGGAACAGTTATTTTTCTCTTTCTCCTGAATTTCAAATTTGGAAGATACTTGTTTTAATTAATCTGTTTTTTTTTTCCCAGCGTACGTACCGGTATCCATGCACATGTTGTATAGCTTCCTCGCTTTTTCCAAGGAAAGCGTGTCGTCCAATTTGGGAGCATCTTCTAAAATCTCTGCAGACGATAAGAGAACGATCGTGAGTTTGAAAAAATTTCAGCATGTAAAAATTTTAATAATTAAAACATTTTGATTTGTGCAACACCGTCAATATTTAGTATCTCCAATAATTTGCAATTAAACAGTATCGTACCTTTAAGTTTCTCTAAAGTTTTCTGGGCGAGAATCGACAAAGGGCTATTCAGATATGACATATCTGCTGGATTATTTTTTATATATCCGCCACAAGCGAATTTGTAAAAATTGTCGCAAGGATCAACCGTGCGGTCGATATAGCCTGAGATCCTCGACGCTATAAAAAGTAATAAAGATGACTTTATGTGATGATACATCGCAAAAACGATAAAAATTATTTAGAAACGCGGAATAATCTATGAAGTAATAAGATAATATGAGAATTGAAATACCTTCGTTCACGCAATCTTGCGTGGTGCATAATTTGTAATCCCGGTGTATATCGTAATTATTTGTCGGAGCCGCGAACGCTACTTGCGAACACGTTGCAGCTACCAAGAAAGATCTGTAAAATTTTTTTAAGAAACAAAAGAAAACAATTGACCGGTAATAATAGATGATTATTATCTATTGTTATCAGGACGTGCGTATGGTTTTTGTAACTGAACGTTTTATCTTTCCCTCTTTCTTCTTCACACAAAAAGAATTTTTTGTTTATATTTTACCCTTAAACTTACTACAAACTTGGGACAACTTGGCGACCAAAAAATTTTTAAAATATATATACAAAAGACATTTTACAAACAACGTGATAAAAATTATTAAGCAGATTGGTAAATTTTGAAAGATTATTGAAATTTCCTAGATATATTTTAGTAAAATTAATCAACATATTTTATATTTTAATGTAATAAATATTAATATTTTTTATTATGATAGATATTAATCAGAATAACTCGCATAAAATTCTTGGTGGTGCATGTTGTCCCATAACTACCATGATTTCAGGATAAATTTTAGGAGAAAATTCTCTCCGTGCATCATTTAATTTTATTATATCTAATTCTTTTGCACAATGTATAACATAACATAGTTACAAAGAACATATCTAATAATTTAATAAAAATATAAAATAAAATCTCATATCTTACATAAAAAAACAATATGTCCGCATGGTGTTATAAGCTTCGACGACACTTTTTCACCAAAATTGTACAACACGATTCCGATGAAGACCGAAGAACTTCCTTCTCAGGAAAGCACCTTGTGTGAAGTATTGTTAAGGCTCCTGGTCCCTAAGCCGAGAACGAGAACTCCGCGCTGACGGTGGCGACGTACCGTGCGTCGCGGTAAAAGAAAGATAAGAACTCTCTCCAATGGAAAATTATGTCCTTTGTGACATGTTGACAACCTATTTTGACCTGCGTTTAATTTCTTTATTATTTGCTCTGTACTTGTGCTATAACGTTTAACGTATTCGCGAAACTCGTAAAATTGACCGAGAAGTAAGATTTGCAAGAAGTACATATGCGGGAAGAACAAGTGGAGACTCTTTCGATAGTCGTCAAACGGCTTGCTTTCCGTATGTTTAGATTTTGTTTTATGGCTGTTTGTTTATTGTCGAGGGAAAAGGATAGTTTCCGGTCAATATTAGAAGTGTTCTGAAACGATCTATTGTGATTTTTTATTGAAATGTCTTTTTATTTCGGAATAAAACGTAAGATAAAAAAATGTGTTATTTCTCGCCTCGATTGCAAGAATTCAATATGGCTGCGGTGATTACCCAGGCCCAGGAACCTTAATATAGTCATGAAAAGATTATGGTTAGTGATATGATAAGACATCAACATCACCACGCTATCTCACATGAATGATACGTTCAAGAATTTTGTACACGAAACATATTATATGTGAAACGCTTGTCCAAATATTATATCTTTGACGATTTTCTTATATTTGTGATAAATATTATGTACACGTAAATAAAACCTTTATCCGCATCTCCCTCGGTTAAGTTAAGTAAAATTTGGATTTTTCCCTAAACAAATTTTATTTCAACGCATATTTATTTCAATTTATGCATGTTATACTTTCTAATTTGTTATATTTTTTTGTAAATGTTACAATCTTTATCTTTTCTGGTTCTTACTTTACTTTTTATTTTAGACATGTTTTTTATAATTAATTTTTAAAGCCCAGAAATTCCATCTCAAAATTATTTTTTTAAGATTTTATCATCATGTGTTTTGAGCATACGTACTAATTCTTTACCATAATTCTTTAATATATTTTTCAAATAAATTTTATTTCCTAAATATTTTTTATCATTAACTTAACTTATTGTTCGCTATAATATCTAATACCTATTAGAAGCTTGAGGATTCGTAACAATTTTTTCAAACAAATTTTTTCATATCAAGGAAGAAGTTTTTATAAGAAAGGAAAAAGAGAAGACTTTATTTTATACATCAAATGTATATTTCATCTTTCAAATAGTACACAGTCATCACGAGCACACATAAATAAAAAAAAGACACCCATAGCAAAAGCTCGGTGGAAAAAATACATACGAGTATACTCATAATAATTCCAAGTTATAAAGAAATTGCTGTCGGTTTCTTTGATCTCAATGTTTTTTAAGTCAAGGTTCGTCGATTAAGCGCAGTCTAAAAAATTCCGAAGGTGTTTTCTATTTACTTTTATCTTATATGATTTACAAATGTAGCAAAGCGTACAATACAGTGAACAAATTATACAAGCATAAAGATACGTGTGCTTATTATAAACTGTACGCTTTCTTGGAAAGCTCATGTCCTCATAGGAAACATACGCATTTACATTTCTTATTAATTCCAATTTCTTATTAATTATGATGATGAAGACCTATAATCTCGGAATGCGATAAAGAAATTCAACAATATTAGTTATCTCGATATAAAAATCTCGCTTCTCCCATTAGGCTTGTGATTCAAGCTATCATCTATCCGATGTTTATCCAATGATAAGAGATTTGCATGAATATATACATATAATCCAATCATGGAATTTCTGTTTGCTATACACATATTACAAGATACGCAAATTTGTTCTCTGCTATCAAATAATACGGAAGAATGCGCTTAAATCTGCTTAGAGATACGCGCCAAGAGATATGTAATTAGTGAGATTTAATTATTAAATTATATTATTACGTATAATCCACGTATTTAATCACTCGTGTTTAAAAGTACTTTAATTTTCATAATTTACTCGTAAATGTTTGTGCTTAATAATCATTCCAGTGATTACAGATTTTGTAGGAAGACGGAAAATTTCAATTAAACATAAAGAAACGTTGACTAGTATACAAAATTATTTTCAAATTTTCCCCGTAAAATATTCACAATGCTTTATCTGTATTATGATTGTTATTAACAAACATTTAAGAGTAAATAAAAAAAGAGGACAATTTAATCGCATGCAGCATGTATGCAGATATATAAGTTATCAATAAAGCATAATTCTTATCTAATCACAACGCAGAAATGTTCAAGTATAATGAAAATTGAGGTGGACAAACTTAACAGAGAATTGTATTGGAATTTTCTATCATCTAGTAATTCATTCACCACTCGTGTGTACTTAATAAACACTATATCAAAATAAAAATAATATTAAAAAACGTTAAAGTACAAAAGGCTATATAAATGTCGAGTATATTTACTGTGCGTACCGTTACATTGCAAAACACAGGATACCAAGATATGAGTTTCACATTTTTCCCTTAACAATGAAATATATGAATCGTGTGTGTGCTGCTATATGTGCGCATAAGCGTATGAACACATACGTATGAATTTTATATATTTAAAGCCATATCTCCTTCGTGTAAGCACGATACTACAAATACGGTTTACAAACTTAGGAATGCGTATTAATTAACATAGATATCAATACGATTATTTAATCGTTCGTATTCAAATCCTCATCCATCACCTACTGGATTTGTGTTAACTAAAATACATTTACAATGCAATAGATGAAAAAAAATATTCTGTTCGTTCTTGATCTAAAACAGAATGAACATCGTTTATTTGGTTTATTACTTTGCTTTCCCTGGATTGATAATGTACCAATATCATTTTTGAGAATAAAAATGTGTATATGTAATAAGAAAAAAGAAATTTAACACGTACACTTACTCAGGAATACGTAAAAATAAAATACGTATTAAAAAAAAACGATAAATAATTATATTATGAATCCGAATGGATCCGACACTTATCGTATGATTGACCATTTAGGCGAATCACTGTTTTTAAATTAGCCTACATTTTGCCTCAAAATAAGTACGTGTATATATACACATTAAAAATCCTGTTAGATATATTTAAGGTGTACATATATACAATTCATGATATGCAATATGATAGAATAAATAAATATACGTACGCGTGTGCCGCGTGCGCATGTCTTAAAGATAAAAAATGAACTGAGTATTTTATAATACAAACTAATTATTACTTCGTAATAATTACTCAAAGGTATGTTCAGAAGTATAGATCACTTATTAATGTCATTGTGGTTCTTTCTCAAAGAGAGAAAATAATGTCATAAATGTTGTCAAGAAAGCAATGGCAAATTATTTTCCTAACTGCTGTGCTTCTCTCAGTGCTTCTCAGTCTATTACGTTAGAACGTCTAAATACTATTATACTGTTGCATAACAGGCCATGTTTTAGAATATAAGTTTTAGATAATATTCTAAAAAGAGAGACTTAGCCTTCGGTCTTATGAAGATTTGGAAGAATTTTTGGCACAAATAAGATTTAATTGAAATAATATTTAAAAAATGCTTTCCGCGCGAAGCAAGATAATATCTATCACATCATGTTTTCAGCGCAAAATAAAGCTTCTAACAGTATTCTCTCTCTCTCGTCACAGGAAGTATTTTATATTAAACATCATCTCGACTAAAACATCATTTGTGCTAAAAATCTTTTCAAGCATACTCATTTTGGGATATTTGGAATAGTTTCATTTAACTTCATAAACATCAGGGGATCGATCACGTAAAACTTTTCACGTTTTCGCCCTAGGGGACAAGTTAGACATGATCGCTGCCCTGAAGATAAATATCTGAATCTTATCACCGAACTTTATCAAGTATCTTAAACAGAGGTTTCCGAGTTTAATCGCAGAAGGAATTTGTTCGATTTGGGATGTGCCAATTGTTCGGTGAGATTAAAGTGCGGTAATCTATGCGCCGTACACAAAAGCGCCACTTCGCCCTGTCTCAACTGAAACTCACAACCGTTAGCAATCGGGCGTGAGGGTAGCTCCCCTTCGCACACCAAGGCCCAATGATGCGATCGCTTTTGTCTCTCTTTCTCGTTCGACAGCACCGGGCTCGCAGCGAAGAACGGTTCCAAGAAGGCGCGCGGCGCCGCGTCTTGAGCCAAACACCGGGCGAGACGGTTCAAAATAGATTCTACCGAATGACGCGGCTGTTGCCGAGTAATTCTCAAGTACTTCTGTAAAGCTCTCGCCATAGAGGGAAACACCGCCTGTGCGGCTTCCATAGGATCCATCGGCCCGGGGTTCGGCGTGGAATCTACCTCGGAATGCAAACGTTTGATATGCGCGAATGCCTCCTCGGCGGCGGTGACAAGTCTCGCGCGGCGTTTTCGCACTCGTCGCTCGTAATCGTGCTCCTCGTAGAAGCGCTCGTTGTGACTCGAGTCGCGACGACGCGCCTGCGCTGCCAGGACCGCTCGGTCCCCGCTACCACCGCGCGACTGCATACCGCCGGTCACTCCGCCGTCGACCTCGTAGAACTTGAAACTCGACTGCTTCCTGCCTGACTTCGAGACCGGCAATCTTTCCAAGTACGGATTGTAAATCGGAAACTCTGTGTAGTATTTTTCTAGAACCCACACGGCTGCTCTCTGTATCGATAACTGGCCGATCGCGTAAGATCTCGATTCACCGTCTGGTGATCTAACGACCTGCAAACAAAAATATAAAACGACTCGTGTAATTTAAAATGCATGTTACGATCAGTTGTCATTAGCGATACGAAGAACATTTACGTACCTTAATATAAAACGTAGGCTGTAGATGACGAACTTCGATAAGGAGCACTGCGGTGTAGTGTATGAACAGGAGCGTATTGGCAAGGGTACCTGCGTAATTTACTAAACTTTTGTACTCTGTTATTTCGCCATTGGCAACAGTCTTAGCACTCTCGGTGACCTGGAAAGTACATCAGGCATTTCAATAACGATATACATATAATACAATCGCAAAGTTACAGCTGCGCGAATCACATCCATGATTATTTACCTGTACAACGTAAAAAAGCCAATAAGTACAAATGCACAGTGTGGTGAGTAGCAGCACTCCCGCCTTGAATAAAAATATGCGCGGCATGGTAGCGGTTCGCGGACGCAGGAATACTGCCCAGCTACCGATAACCAGTAGCACCAGTTTGAAGGCCAATCCTAGCAGCTCGCCCTTGCACTCGGCGTTGCACGACAGTAGATGCAATTTCTGCTGCATCGTCAGTACCGTCGACGAGTCGGGGAAGAATCCCACTTTAGGCAAGATAACCATGGCTATAGGACTAAGGAAGGCGCTTATCCCGAGTATCGTCGCTACGATCGGACCGACGTAGCGATTGCAGCCAGAACCGAACGTGCCGTCGGTCTCATTCGGCCAGTGGCTCACGTCCTCGGTCGATTCCGACCTGTCTGAGGTATTGCCGGTGACGGCCGTGGTGTTCTCTCCCCAGTTCTCATCCTGCGGCAGTATCTGCACCTCGATCACCTCCTGGCCCAAATTGTCCACGCTGTCTCCCCGCACGTTCACCGTCGTTTGAAACGGTGCCATTTCGCTAGTGTCCAAATTCGGTCTCTCCTTCTTTTGACTACGATTGCTCCTGGCACAGAAGATCATGGAAGATTAATTTAAAAAATAAATCAATCACAAGAGATTCGTTGGCAATTGAATTTTTTTAGCATCGATGGAACAACTCGCTAATTTTAGTTGTATGTACAATTGCGCAACAGAGAGAGACGTACATTAATAGTAAAATTAATAGAGAAACTCCCTTGTTCTCAGCAGAGCCATGTGAGAAAGTCAACGGCGAAAATACTTGCGAAATAAGGATGTCAGTTTAAAGTGATGTCTAAATTTACTGTCAATAGTCGAGCGTACCTAGCGGTGCGGTGAGAATGCTGCCTGTGATGCTGCTTCGAGCTGTGGGACCGATGATGCTTCTGGGAGCTCCTGCTGTGGTGGCTATGGCTATGCTCGCTAGCCCCGGACTTTACGCTCTCCGTCTCCATTCCACGACAAAGGCTACCGCCCGCTCGCTACCCCATAAGAGCATACCCACCCTCGCGCGCGGACAAACGACGGGCACATGTATCGCGACGTTTCGGTTCCCGACGTTTACGTTTACGTCCACACCGCTTCGTCAGGATACGCTATGAACGGAATGAACGCTATCGCCGTGCGTCCACGGCATTCTCGCGGCGTCGCGGCGGCGGCGTCGCGGTCACGTGCACCCTTGACATTCCGCGGTCCGGTCGAGGCGATGAGCACCAGGCGGGTGGGGGGGGAACTGGGGGTCCGCCAATGGGTAGGAGACCGGTACCTGGAGCAATTCGGCAAAACCCGGGACTCTCGGAGTCGCACAGCGTCGCACGCGTATAAAAAAACGGACGCCGACACGCCTCTAACGTTTTATTATTCCCACCCCCTCCGTCCGGCTCCAAGCAGCCGGGCTACCACATTCCGTGGTAATTGCCGCGATTGAAAACACTGCGGCGTCTCTAGGGGAATTTCATCCCGACGATTACGTCGCGAGAAACCCCATGGATCATCTATGGAGGCACCATATTACGAAATGATCAGAAATGATCGAACCGCCATTTTCAAGGTCTGATAATTTGATTAATTGTCCACTAATGTAACTTCTAATTAAATTTGAATATTTCATATTAATCATGCTTAAAAGGATAAGTCAGGATAATTTTAACGTTAGAAACATCTTATAAATGAAGATATGTTGAACCGTCCTAAGATATAGTCGGCGAACCCTTTAGACTAAAAACATCCTAATTTTTGATAGTAAAAAGTAAAACACACATGTTTCGAACCTTCTTTTTAATATTTTCTTTTTAAATGTATTTCAAACGAAAGTTACACGACGAGAGGAGTGGGTTGAGGTATATCTTTAACCGGTTTAACCTCGGAACTCGGAACGGTCGGGGGTACTTCTTCTTTCGGTTCCACGATGGATACGTAATCCGGAAGAGGTTTCTTCGGCCCGCTCTTGCCGTTCGGGTCCCAAGGAAGCATAATCTTCACCTTGATTCCCAATACCCCTAAAATATATCAAATAAAATACAATATAGACATATATTTATATAATAGATTAATAAAATTTATGAAAAATAAAGAAATATATATATTTTTTTATAAAATATAAACTTTTGATTATGTCATAAATTGGACATCCAACATTTTCACGAACACATGTTATCACGTAAAGAAATGACCACGGCAAAATGCAATCATACCTTGCCGAAGGAGCACGTGCCGGGTGGCAGAGTTCACGTACTCGTTAGTCGGCTCGCCCGAGTGTATCATGAGACCGTCGACGAACTTCATCGACTTCGCTCTCTGACCACGCAGTTTGCCACTGACAACCACCTCGCAGCCTTTAGCGCCTGACTCCATGATGAAACGCAGGACACCATAACACGCCCTGATGGAAATATTAAAAGATATGGATTAGGTTTGACAAAATGTGCGTGAAAAAACTCTCTGACTTACCTTCGCACAGCGAGGCCACCGATCAGTTTGTACCGAAGAGATTCTGCCTGCGCAATGGCGCACAAGCCGCGCGTGGCAACCTTCTCAGCGTACAACTCGACATTCTGCGGTTCTTTGAAGTTGAAACGTTTTTGCACTACGGAGGTAAGCTCCCTGATCCTGCGTCCCTTCTCGCCGAGCACGCTCTGCGTGTGGGTGGCCAGTAAGATGATTTCCGTCCGGTTCGGCGTGACGCGGACCTCCACGCCCGAATAGCCATCCTCGGCGAGTTCACGAGTCAGAAACTCGTTCAGCTCGGCCCTGAAGACACCGTCTCCCACAAACTGAAAGTATAAGAAGAAAAAAATAAACGCCAAATCTGACTTGTCTTTAATTTAATCATTATATATAATTTATCGTGTATAAACTTAAATTCGAAATTTACATTTAATGAAACAATCACCCATCGAGTACAGAATAAACGGACGTGGCAGAAAACATCAAAATGCAGCGATCTCGCTAAATTTTATATATTTTAAATATACTTTAATTTTGTAACGAGACATGTGGAGTCGTAAGATGCACGTGTATAAATGAGAACGACGCTGAAAGCATCACGATTCACGATTACAGCAGCCACTTAATTTTCGACAGAAGATATTATTCCAAAAGTTTCGCAGCGTCGCAACGAGCGCATTTCTACATATTATATTTATTATACGCTTTTACATTTATTAGAAACTCTTGAAAATCACTAACCTTCCTTTTCTTCGATATCGAACGGTTCTCCATGTTGGATTGAAGACCTCTCAAGACCTCTTTCGGAGTACTCGTGAATCGGACAATCGGAGATTTCCCTCAAGGCCTCAACCGAATTACTGCTAAAATATAAAAAGAAATTTTAATTTAATTGTTAATTTTACTTAATCTCGATTTTACCTCGGTAAACTTACTTATTATCTCTTAACTAGTTCTAAGAATTAGAATTTTTTGATTAAAATGGGCCATGAATCCTAAAGGCTAATTTCATTTGTCGTGTGATGAACTTTTCAAGCATGTTGATTGGCTGCGTTCAGCCGAACCTCTGCTTAGCGAAGCGAAAGGTAGCAATTAAGTGTAA